TATTCCTACAATAGTTCACAAAATTAAATTAAATTAACTTAACTTGTTTAAATGTAAAATTAACTCAAGTTAATTAAAAGTTAATTCAAAAGCTGCTAAAGTTATTAATTAAGTTAGTAAACATAAAAAAAAAATAACTTATTAAGTTAAAAAGTTAAATTAACTTACTTTAACTTATTAACGCGTTAATGCCCAGCCTTGGAWAKACATTTTAAGATAATATTGAAATGACAAATATGATACAAATATGGGCATCGTTAAAAGAAAAAAGAATTTCGGTGTAATATATATACATATATATTAATTCTTATAATTTTTGTTTTTTTTTTTTGGAATGCACATTCTGTCAATGTTAAATGATATTTTGTAAAATGTAATATATTATAATACTTATTTCTTATAAAAAATAGTTATTGTTTTATGATGCTCATTTGAAATCAAAATAGATAGAGATGCTAAAACATCAGCTTCGATCAAAAACTCTTAAGTAAAAAGGCAATATTGTTGGTAAATAGTGATTTAAGTAATTAGTTTATTCTTTATCATATGTTACAAAAACATTATTATAGTTTTATTGTTTTATTTATAAACGGTTTGACGAATTCTTACTCTGGAACAATATCATATCATTAATAGTGAATATTGAAAAATATTATAAAAACATGCATTTATCAAGAATTTATGTTAAGTTTTTGTTCCAACATAGTATGGAATTGTTGAAACAAAAACTTGWAATTTTGAGTGTCGCAAAAATTTTTTTTTAGGGTTTTATAATTATGCATGAATTTCAGTCGTCACTATCGTAACTACGACCCCTCACAAATATTAGATAACGCCGGCCCTGGATATAATATCATATAATACTTATTAATTATTATTAATATGGTAACCGGTAATTTGAATTAATTTTATACAATTACAACAAAATAACTAAAATCTTGCTAATTTAATGCATAACTTCGTCCAAATTTGAACATAAAATAATTAAACACAAAATTGTTTAGATTTTTTAGATTTTTTGGTTATAGAACCTACTCATATGGAACCTTGTTTAAATTTTTAATTCTTAGCTATAGGAGTTGAATATTTTAAAAATTATTAACTAAAAATTCATTTTTAAATATTTAATTTTTCCAAGCATTTTTACTCTCCTAAAAAGTAATGAGACATAAATAAAAAAACACACACCATTATAAAATCAATACATCAGAATCTAAAATGTATATTATTCAACTCTCATAGCTCATAATAGATATAACTGGTAGTTATGGTTAAAGTTTACCTTTTAAAATTGTTATTTAGACAATAATAAAATATAAAGTACCTATGGATTATGTTTTCATGGTAATTGGTAATATAGTACGTGTACACTGCAGAGTTTGCTCTTGTTTAGTATCTGATTATTTATAAAAATACAATTAATAATATATATGACTTTACTTTAATAAATTCTTTTAGTACCTACACCAATGATAGCAGTACAAACTTCGGGAAAAATTAACTGTTTAAACATTTTAAATAAATATGATAAGCATGAGCTTATTATATATAAGTCACCGGTAGCTAAAAATCTTAGCCTTTCTGAGAGCCTTTCTTGCTCTGATATAGCTTACGTCATAAAAGTATCAGATTTTTTATTATTGGTTCTATTTTGCACAATATGTATTCAAAATCTGAACTTGACATTATTAAAAAAAATATGAAATGAACCTCGTAATTCAAAATTTAATTCATTTAATTATCTTGATCCATCTGCGACTTTTTTGCTCTGCAAACTTGGGCGAACGCACCATTTTTTTCCGCGCTTTTGTATAATTTTTGTACGCATACTACAACGTAAGCGTTCAAACGACATCCTCCTCCGATGACATTTTGGCACTAACAGATTTAATCATAATCAGTGAAATTATTGTCTACTGGAAGGTTATCAAGAATGTCGCACCGTGTGGATGCATATTTGCCGCGCATCAAAAGCTACTCCGTCTGGACGCGCCTWAAAACTCGTAATTTTATAAATTTATATATTTACAATGGGAATAGGTAAAAAATGTTTAATTTAATTTACCTGTCTTGAAAAATAGATAATTTTTCAACATTATCTGCAAAAAATTGTACAAACAATGCAAACGTTTTGGACGTGTTATATTATAAATACACATGTTTGTATAGTCACGTAATGGGTCACAATATTTTCCCTCATTTTATATATATATATATGAATAACGTACTGCGCCACACGAAATATATTTCGACTATCTTAGGTTGTGGAGAGGTTGTATTCTGTATAAACGTATAGTAGTAGTACAGTGGCACACACGATTATGACGAAATTGACCGATTATGGTGGTAGTCTACTAGCATAGTGCTGCATTATACGAGTACATATTGCCGTCTGTTATCCGTATACCCGCCGTAGGGTTCCTCCCTTTATAATCGAATGCTGCTGGAGGGAGACGGGCGTACACGATACGTCAAATATGTAACGGCCGTCGCCGCCACGTCGAACGCTATGCGTAGGAACGCATTTTGCAAAAGAAAACATATATTCGACAGCTGTCGCATGGTCGGGTTCGATTGCTCGCCGTCTTTTTTTGTACGTCATAACGAGTGAAAGGATATTATAGCGTGTGTGTGTATGTTATTAATTTATTATTGTTGCTTGTTGGAGGATAAAAATTAAAAAAAAAAAAATAATATTATTCGGTTTCGAATTTATAATGTTTTCTTTAACGCGTGTCTAATCGAGTGTTACGTTTGAGTATGTACGTAAAAAAATAATAATTATCGAGATACATTAATGAACGTTGCCCTCGGGTTATTTGTACTCCATCCTTGACTCTTGACCACTTCCGTTGCGTGTGCGCTTCCCGCCGTTTTTTTTTTTTCATTTTTTGTCGTACTGTATGTCATTGTCCATTGTTGTGTCGGCGGCACATCATTGTGCTCTGCGACTGTTGTAAAATCCACTTGTCGCCGTTACTGCCACAGCCACTACAACATCTACTTTTATTTCAACAATCATTACTAATTTTACAATTTTGGGCATTGATCTTTGCAGCCATGTACTCGCAAATCAACACACTATTCAGTCAGGTAAGTGACAGTGTCGTTCAGATATTATAATCCCTAGCATGGAATGATCGGTACAGTGGCGTTTGGTGGAGGGGGAACTCTTCAATGTATAGAATGTGTATTCTTCACCTACTTATACATCGGAAATGCTTGTACTATTTTTTTAAAACGTTAATCAGCCTTTAATCGTGTCAAGAATATTTTTGTTGACATTTTTAGAAGTAGGTTATAGGGTTTAAAATTATAATCCGACTTTGAATATGATTTGCACCACTGGATCATCCAGCTTGACTTATCAGTTATCTGGCCCGTCATTTGTTTTAATCATGAATAGATACCGCCATCCATATCAAATCATCTGTACGCCGCCGCTACGTTATCACTTGGATCTGCCTTCTACACTATTAAATTATTATTATTAGGTAATAACTAATAATTTATCTGTAAAAATTTGTATGGTAAAAAAATGAATTGTTAAACTGGTAACAATGTGTATGACTATTCCCGCACATAGTCTAACTGTGTGATTATTTTTTGCTTGCAATTCAAACATGTTGTCATGTATAAATGTTTATTTGTTAGTATCTTTTTTTTTTTTTTGTTCCCTGACTTCTCAAAGTGATATACATATCATATTGCGCGTTTTTTAAATGTCTATGAAACTAAATATTTTTGGTGTGACTATTTGAAGAACTATTTAATTTTTTATGATTCACTATTATTTGTTGTGCGCATCGATAAGAATATAAATTTAGTCCATGTAGTGAAAACTCAGTGTCGTTATAATGCCTTCTGGCTTCTTATATATGTTTTTAATATGTTATCAGTAAATTGTACAATCCTATTATCTTGTGGTTGCGGTGTCATTATGTTACACGTAAAATAATCTTTAAGCATATCATAACTGAAAAAAAGGAAATCCAAAAAAAAATTCTTTTCCGTTTATTGTTTTCGTAATCGTTACTTAATCCCAGCTGCTGTATTTTCTTTGTACCAACTAACCGTAGAGGTCAACACTAGTTATTACCAGGGCTAGGATTTGTATGCAATAAAAAATTGAAAAATATGTATTTTAATTTTTAAATGATACACATAAAAATATAKTTACAAAAAATATATTTATTTCAAGAAATAAATCAGTGATTAATTATTATTTTATTAATAAAAATAAAAATGTATAAGTCTCAATCGATAGCAGAAATATGTGTTTTATATGCTACGACTACATATTTTTTAAATTTTCAAATATAAATGATCGGCTAACGTGCATGATATTATTGTTCCATAGGGTTGTATTTATAAAAATAAAATTTATGTTTGCAAACATAAATTTTAGTCATGACTAAAAAACCAAGTTATATTCTTTGATCAGTTTAATTATTATCGACTTAAATACAATAAATTCGTTCATACTAAATATGTAAAAATATACAAAAACATGCAAAATAAAAATATTGCATATTTACATTCCCTATTTTACGAGCTATATTGTAAGCGTATATATACATACGAAACATAACATGTGAGGGGAACTGTTACATTCGATTGGGGGCAACTGGTATATTTTTAAAATCTCGATAACTGCCGTGAGGGGCAACTGGTCAACGCCCGTAAAATCACCACCCTCTTATTTCAATATAAAGTAGCATTGTCTTGCAACATTGAATAGCCCTTTTCAAAATCAGCAAAACAACCGAATTTAACTGAACTGTTAGTTATTTTTTTTGTATTCTATAACTAAATGTTAAAATGCCTGTACATAACATTGTGTATAGTCAGGCTCGGATCATCTAGTCTACATTATAACGGGTGGGCCATATTAAAAATATCTAAATATATTTACTTACTGATAAATACGATTAGGTATATATATTATAAATATACAATAATTGCTTATTGATTATAATGAACACTTTTTTCCTTAACTGAATTGAATGTCTTTATTGAATTATTTACAATTTAAAATTTCCCTTCTTTCATTMTTTTAAAAATTTMAAAATTTCACATTATTTTATCATTCGTCAGTCACCACAGCAGTTTTGGTATTATGTGGGTAGCAATAAACAGATAACCAATAATTAATATAGATGAGTCGGTCATAATATTGTTATCAACAATTTATAAATGTGTGTTATTAAAATAAAATACGACCATTTGTGACTGAATAATATAACAATACATTTAGATAGGATAATATAAAATATTAAATTTAAATAATATTTTTTGAGATACAGCCAACGGGGGGTCACCCCCCTCCCATAACTGGATCCATGCCTGTGTGTAGTCTTTAAAGGTAGTAAAATATAAACGAGTGTAATATAAGACTGTTTCATTGTAGGTACAATTAATGGTAAATAGTTTATGGTAAAATGTTATGTGTTATAATGTTAATGTACCATCTACAAATATAGTACCCGAATTGCATACCACTTTTAAATTAATTAATGTGGAGAAACCTACTATATTTGTTTCTTAACTATTTACTAACAAAACATTTTCATTTATTGATTTATGTTTACTTTAAATTCCATGTTGTAAAAAATATTGTTTAAATCCAAAAAAGTGACTGGCAATTTTGGCAGGATACAATAAACTACCTAGAATACTACATCAGCATTTTTTAATTCAGAATGAACAATATTTTAGATGGCCTATATCGTTTATGGCTTTTCTTTTTCAAGTTTCTATCGATTTATTATTTGTTCCGAAATATTTAAATGATTTTGATCATAAAAACTCTATACAAAATATTACTAACATTAAATTTCAAAAAACATGTATACATTTTAACTGTGTATGTAACACCAACATTGAGTATAATTTTTTAGTCATTTGTGAAATCGAAATTTAAAACCATCTACTACTTTCAGAGTTTTGTTCCTTTAGTATTCATTACGTTATTTAATTAAAATGAAAAAAATAAATACATTCGTAAGCTACAAAGTATAACGTAACAATTCGTGAGTAAGACCTTCGATCAATTGCACACTGACTACTGTCTACTAGTAATATTATATAGGTAAGTGAACATATTATTTACATCAATTGATACTATTAATACTTATCTTAAATTGCACAGCCTACCGGAGATTTGAATATCCTAGGCCATAATTTACGTACATTTCAAATATAGCTGAGACGCAATTTACATATGTTGTAAAAGAACACGGGCCTCAATTTACATAGTAGGTATATGACTATGACYTTATTTGGGGGGCGCAATTTACCGACTCTGGCAGACAAACAACCCTACATGACCTTACCTATATTTAAATATCTAATTAAAAATGCAACGGAAATATTTAAATTAGCATGCACAGACATTTCTTCAATTTTTTTTGTGATCATTATTATTTGTTATTATTAGTAGGTACCTATTGGTTATATATAGTAAATTTTAATTGTAGGTAGTAAATTATACATTTATACCAATATTATTAATGTATCTCTGAATCCATAATGATAAAGGTTAGACTGTTAGAATTATTTGATATCGTTCGTAAATATATCAACGATCTTGGCTCTGCCATCTGATGATCCTAATTACAACCGATCTGTATCATCGATTTTTGTTCATAAGGTTGCAAACGAGGCAGTGGCGCAGTGCCGTAACTAGCTTTATGTGCGCCCTTGGCAACCAATGTTATAAATTTATAATGCATTTTTAGTATTTAAATGGTATAAAAATTGCGATCATTTGAAACTGCGCCCTTGGCCACCGCCCACCTTGCCAATGCCTAGATACGGCACTGAAACGAGGTGTCTGAAATATTAAATTTAGTCTACAGGTTTTTAATAGGTTTCACGAGTTGTATCCTTAGATTTTTTAAATTACCTAAGAGTTGTTTAACATATAAGAATTAATTTTACTAATTAAGTAAAAATAAATATAAAATAACTACACAAATTACTTTAAAAATATTATACATAATACACAAATTTTACAACTACTCATTAAAATGTATATACTCGTATATATATATATATATATATATTTACATGAAACTAAATATTATTTCGTTAGTCTCTTTAGTCTTTACTAATATACCAAAATTTAAAAATAATAATAATCATACTGAGAAAAAAATTCGAATAACATTTTTTACATTACAACATTAAAAGTATGTTATATTATTTTATATTAAAAATAAGAATATAGGTACCTCTCGGCCAATCAAAATATAATATTCGTCATTTCGTATGAATAATCGTCACTTAAAGTTATAATATAACTTAATAATAATGTGTACCTATACATATTTACTATTTAGTATTACTATATCGTAAATTAATTAGATTATTATTTTATTATACATTAATTGATTTACATACTTAATTTATATTTTTTTAGGCTGTAGAAAATCGTCCATTGTTTTTTGCTGTAATTTATTAAAACTTTGCTTATTAATAAAATCTGCACAAACGTCTAGCGAAGTTGCGAAGTTGTTGGTGCATTTCCGTTTTCATTTTGCCTAAAATATAGTCTAAGCTGATCAATGCACTTTTCTGTTTCCAATTTTGTACGTAGGCTATAGTTGACTGTTATCATGGTAGTAGAAAAAAAACGATTGACATAATTGACGTAAGATATACGTACATTACCTGTATATACATTATACATATACTTGCGTATATAAAATATAATATAGCCATAAAGATTTGATAATTACAGTTTTGATAAGAAAGTAGATAATTTAGGTCAGAATATCTAGTTAAACGCTTTTATTTTTGTCCCTTATAAGTTATAACCGATGGTTTGTCCCGGATAAACGAAGTTAAATTGCATTAAGTTTATACATCCGTTCGGGACTATGCCAATTTTTCCCCATTAAGCGGTTGTCCCCTTTATGTGGTGTCCCAAATAAGCGGATTCTACTGTATTTGTTGTCTCCGTTTTACAAGTGTGTAACGTAGCAAATGTATGCTTTAATAATGTTTAATTCTGTTAGTTTAAAAATTAGAGTAAATTGACCTTTTATGAAACTTGATGGTAAGAACATTATCGGTGTTTGTATATGTAG